CAGTGAATTCCGCCGCACTGATGTCTATCTTCCTGCACACCTGGTGCCCCCACCCAGGAAGCCATGCCACCCACCCACATCTGTCCTTCCACCTCCACTGCCCCCCACCCAGAACGCCGAGCCATCGGTCATTCCTAGTCTTGTGCACCAGGTTACTGGGTCAGACACACTCCAGTCTTCCCACCCTGAAAGCAGGCCTGCTTTGGTGCTCCCTCCGTCCCTCCATCATCGTCTTCTCTTTCTCCTTCCATCCCCCAGCGTAGCCTCTGTCAGCACTTCACTCGGCCCCACGATGCATCTGGCTCCGTGAAGGTGGGACGCAGGTCTCATCCCACGTGTGTCCCCAGTGCCTGTTGTCAAAGGCACTTACAGAACAGTGACCTCGTTTTTCTTAGGGATTGAACACTTGAAAGACTGGTCTGTTACTCCAGTCTTAGTTTCCACTTGCTCTTCCACCCCCCGTAATCCGGCTGCACCTTGACTGCTTCCCAGAGTCCTCTGCAAGTGGTCCTGGTGACTTCCCCGGCTGTGCAGTGCGGGGGCCCTTCCTCCGGCCCTCGTCCTCCCAGGACCCCACTCTCCTCCTCCATGCTCTCTCTTGGCCTCAGTGTCAGGACTCTTCTCCTTTTCCCCGTCCTTTTCTTGTGCTGTAAGGAGTTTTGCATCCACTGTTGTCCAGAGTGCCACCCTTCATCCCCTTCCCTCGCCGTCCACTGCCCTTCTCTGCCCAGTTATGTTCTTTCTCTGAACACCAGCTACGTGCAGATTAACAAGTCCCAAATCGGGATCTGGGCTACCAGTCCCCAACTCCCAGCCACTCTGTCCAACCGCCTGACCAACAGTGGGATGCCCTTGCACCCTCGAACTCACGCCATGGCCTCTGAATGCCCAGCCCTACCCCAGTTTTCTCTTCCAACCCCGGGCAGAAATTTCTGAGGCATCACGGACTCCTCCCTCTTCCTCGTTCCTGACATCTGCTTGTTTTACAGCCACCTTGAGTAGTCTCTCTTCTCTCTACCTCCTTCCTCACACTTTGTACCTGGACTGTTAGGAGGGATTCTTCTCTTTTCTCCACACTGGAATGTTAATTTTCTAAACTACAGATCCAAAAGGAATGTCACATGTTTAAAATCCTTTCATTGCTCCCTAGAACAGGGTCCACATTTCTGAACTTGACGTTTCTATTGTACCAAAAAAGCACTTCCAAAAGGCCTACTTCCTCCAAGAAGCTTTCCCCGATTGCCACATCCTCTCTGTGCTGACAGAACACATTGTTCCTAATAAGAGTAATTCAGAAGTTACTTAAATATTAATGCATACATAGGTCTTCCATTTGTTTGTGAGTCTGTGAATACATTGAATGAGGGTGGTTCGTTTTGTTTTTTTCAAAGTGACTCATAGATCAGAGTTTAATAACCCGTTAGTGGCTAATTGAAGAGAATATGCAATCAGAATTCTATAAAAACATAAAAATAGGGGACATATCTACATTTCCTCTGGATAGAAATATTTAAACTTTTATTACCCATCATCATCATTATTATGCTATTTTTACTATCATTTCAGGCACATGGGCATTTTCTCATTAGTATTATTGATCACTTTTTATTTCTATTAACTATGCTAAAATAGTGTGGTAAATCTCATCCATAACACAGGAAGCATTTGAGTTGTTTGGGGCTGAGAATGACTTTCTTCTTTCTTTTCCTTTTTCTTGAAGAAAATTACCTCCAAATGGTATTTCTACACTTAGGGAGAGCTTCATTTTATGGAGAGCTATTGAGCTCTTCTGTATAAGTGGATTCTTTTTAAGGATTTGAGAAAGCTTCTTCCTTGGGCTATGAGCTCCCTCATCTCAGGCACCTCTTATCTTGAAACAGACTCAACTCTGGTTTGGGCTCTGAAGTCAGGGACCAGGTTCCCAGCTCTGCTTTTGCCTTGTGAGACCTTGGAAAAGGATTTAACATCCTTGGCCAAACTGTTGTGGGAATCCTGGCTTGCCCCATGAGCTCAGACACCCAAGGGAAAGCTGTTTTTAAAACTTGCACATTAGGGGCGCCTGGGTGGCTCTTTTGGTTAAGCGTCTGCCTTCAGCTCAGGTCATGATCCCGGAGCCCTGGGATCGAGCCCCGAAGCGAGGCGGGCTCCCTGCTCCGTGGGGAGCCTGCTTCTCTCTCTCCCTCTGCCCCTCCCCCTGCTTGTGTACACTCTCTCTCTCTCTCAAATAAAATCTTAAAAATTACTTGCACAACATTAAATGGAAGGTTTACCAGCTGTTCAGTCCCCTTTTCTAAGGCTGACAGGTGGACTTACAAGAACCATAACTGAGAGGATGGTCTTAAATTAAGGATTGGCGGAAGCCCTCTGTCCCTAGTACCCCTTTTGTAATGGTCCCTTGTCTTTGTTGCTCTCCTTGAAGTTCTTTAACTTGGCCAATTAATACTCATCAGAAGCTCTCCAAATGTCCCAGGGCCATAGCAGTTTAGGAAAAAAAAAGAGAGAAAAAAGAACTCTTGGCTGTAGCCACCGTCACTGAGTGTGTGCTTCGTGCCGGCCACGCGAGGGTCTGCTGCAGTGGTCGTTCGACAAACGTTTGTTGCACCTGCTGCGTGTCAGACGCTGTTCTCAGCCCTGAGAGTAGAGCATCAAGTGAAGCCGGCTGAACACCGCCGCCCTCGTGGGCTCGTCTTCAGGTGGGGAGACGCGTGGCTTCCTCACCACAAACGTGCAAGCTGGGATTATTCTCCCTGCATTGACAGAGCTGCTGTGTAGACTCGAGTGGCCGGTCACAGGCCCACCCCCCCAGCCCAGCTCTGCAGGTGCACCCAGCGGCGCCTCCTGTGAGGGGGCCGACAGGCCAGGGCTGCCGGGCGCCTGCGGCTGGCCTCAGGCTGTGCGTCCCTGGCTTAGTAAATGGTGACAGTTATTAGTAACGTTCTTCCGCAGAAATACTCTTGACACAGTTTGTGGTCTGAGGCAACCAGCCCTGGATTCCACCTTCCCTAGCCCCCCCCCCGCCCACCGGCTGCCCTGAGGACGGAGGGCTCAACGAATGAGAACCCCCGCAACCCCGTCCTTCCCTGTGCATGGGAAGCAGGAGAATTCTCTTCCTTGCTGTCTGCCTTCTCCTCCCTGCCGTGACCATCTGTTCCTGTCTTTGGGAAGGACATCACCCTTTCAACCTGGGGGTCACCTTGACTCCTCAGTCCCCCACAGCCTGGCTCACTGAATTGGTCGCCTGACCCCCTGGATTCTCCTTCCTTCCTCCTCGCTTCTCCATCTGCGCCACCACAGACTCCCGTCATCCCACCCCCTCACACCCCCACACCCTGACTCTCCCCTCCTGCTGTCCAACAGCAGCCTGGGCTGAGGGGCCCTTTGGAACCTCTGGGCTCTTGCCCGCCTTTTGATCATTGATAGCACCAGAGCCAAGGGTAGGTTTTCGCCCCCACGTACTGACATCTTAAACCCATGATAATTTAGTTCTACCCCGTTCTATAAACACGGAAGCTTCGGTCCAACCAGTTGAAGTCACTTGCTCAAGAAACACAAATAAGACCCGGAACCAAGATCCAGCTCAAACTCCAGCTGTTGTAAATTCAAAGCGCAAGCCATGTGCCTCAACTGCCTCCCTTAGGAAGGAAACTGAGTCACATGCTGCTAGGTGAAGGAAGTGTGAACACTGTGGTGGTGACTTTGCGTGGGTGTGACCCCACGGCCGCCTCAGAGCACAAGCTGGCTGCCTCTTCCCTGTTGGCTCCTGGGCCATTTGCCTCCTCAGGACTTCACCAGCAGCATTGTTCGAAACAGAACCCTATCAGCCCCAAACGGTGCCAGATTTATCACCTGTAGTAAATTTGCAGAGTTGTAAAACTGGATGAGTTTTTCCTTCTTTATTTTGTACACCTTAATTACTGGGGAAGGAGTACATTAAAACTGAGATCGTGGGTTAATTAATTTGTCCTGGACTGTAGAATTTTATGGACAACCAGAACTAAAGTAATGGTTGTGTAGGTGGAATTGACTAAACATGGCTTATAAATGTTACAGAAATTCCTGTAATTAGTCCCACTGCAGCTATTGAGCCTGGGAATTTTATAGCAGACATAAATTAAGAAGATGAAAAGGAAGAAAAATTTTGAGTTGACATAGTGGCATTTGCAGAATCTATCATTTGAGGAAACCTGGTTGGCATTATTATTATTAATGATGATTTTTGGGGGGGTTTCACAATTCCCCCCTTTCAAAATTCACTTTGTAATGCCGTTTCCACCGTTATGCAATGGCTATCAGGTGTTAGGTGAATTAAACACAAGTAGTAACTTACGAAAATAGACCACCAGCATCATTTCTAAAAATACTTAACCGCCAACCAGAGGATGAAGAGACCTGTTTGATCACACTCTTCAAAGTCATTTTTGCATATTTTAATAGATTCAAAGGGAAAGTTACGGGTTATATTTAAATAGTGTTCCCTGTCATTGGATCTTGACAGATTTTAACCTACCTGTTAAAATGCGAGTTATAAATAGCTCCTCTTTCAAAGGTGTTCATTATACCTCATTGGCTCTTGTTATAGAAAATGCAAATGTAATTTGAAAAGTGCCCGTTCTGAGTGCGAGCAATTACCTGTGCTCTTCAATACCTGGTTCATTGTCAGCCCAGCCACTTGGTTAAAAAGCATGTTTGCCTTTGAAATGGAGATCGCCTTTGCGGGCTGGCTGCCTGGCCAGCGGGCTGGCTAAGTAGGTAATGAGAAAATACTTGGCTTTTGCAGGGGAGCAAGCAGCTGCTGAACAACTATCCTGTCTACATAACGAGCAAACAGTGGGACGAGGCTGTAAATTCTTCCAAGAAAGACGGGAGGCGGCTCCTTCGATACCTCATCAGATTTGTTTTCACAACCGATGAGCTTAAGTACTCATGCGGCCTTGGGAAAAGGAAAAGGTCAGTGCAGTCAGGAGAGACAGGTCCTGAAAGACGCCCTCTGGATCCAGTTAAAGTAACATGCCTCCGAGGTACTGCATCCTTCCGCTCAGTGTCGCCATCTGTGATCTCATTTCACCGCATTGGCTCTGGTTCCCCCGTGCAAGTGTCCAGCCCTGACTGTATTTTAGTTTTTCCCTCTGAGACCTCTATAGGCTTCATGTGGCCCATCTACTTGGTATCGAGAAGTTCTTTAAAAATTCCTCGTTTGCTTTAGCCTTGGCGTTCTCACGGAATGGCCCATAAGCATCGCATAGCACCTCATGTTTCACGCTTCAAATTCAGATTTTCTTTGCTGTCACAGAAGGCCACCTCCAGCAAAACCGGAGCATGGGGAAACGCACAGAGGAAGGGAAGGGGTGGAATTTTTTAAAAATCAGGCAGATCTCCCATTTCCATATGCAGCCTGTGCCCCTTTCCCCCTCCAGCTACCTTCTCAAGAGGACTTGCCCCCAACTCCTTATATTTATTTAGAGTTAGCTTTCCTTAATATTGGGGTGCCTGAAGTATCTGTTGCCCAGTCAGACTTTATTCTGTTAGTTTTTTTAAAGTCTCTATATTAAAAATATTGCTTCGATGATACCATTTCATCACTATTAACAGCTGACTACTTTGCAGCTGATCCACACTGTGGTAGGCCAGGCAGAGGATGAGAAGGAAGAATCAAGAGGTATACAGTTGATTCAGCAGATGCAAATAAAAACACAGCCTTTTAGACAAGTAGAAGCATTCTAATGCCAACAGGAACACTATTCACACCTGAAAAATTCACATCAAGAAGCTCAAGTATTGACCTGTGTATTTCAATAGTAATTTTATTGGTTGGAAAAACTTAATAATTTACTCTGGACAGGGATCAAAATATTTCCTGGCAAGGAAGTCACAGTGAGGAGACACTATTACTGATAAGGCCTTGGTGTACAGAAAGGACACTCCAACATCCCCTCCTGGGATGCCCACAGTAGTCTGCAACATGAGTGTGCCTGAGGCACATGAAGGTTTTGTTAGCAGCTGAAATTCCTCGGGCCCACCCCAAGCTTCTGATTCAGCGGGTCGGGAGTGGGAGTGGGAGAGGCGTGCATTGCTGCTCATCACAACCACCCTGGGTGATTCTAGTGCAGGTGGCCCGTACTTGAGAGAACCACCTGGAATGAAAACACCCATATCAACTAGGCACAGGTGCGCCAGAGCACCCCCCGTCAGCCGGTCTGAAGATTCACTTACTAACAGTGGGTGATGGAAATTTCCAGGGTCTGTCTTAGCAAACTAGCCATAGTTTCCTTTATTCTTCAACATCATCAGAGCTGACAGAGTTACTCACCAAGAGTAACAGAGGCGTTTGTGAGCTTGGGGCTCTCCTGGGAACACTGTACTCCAAGAAGTTGCCCGGGGGCCCATAAGGGGAGTCAGGACAAGGGGCCTCACAACGGTATCCCTTTCCAGAAATTCTTATTCAACATTTCACATTTTAAGCAGCAAGTGAGTGAAACTGAGAGGTTAACATACCTCCCAAAGCACCCGCACCTTGCCCTGAGAACGTTGCCCGACCCTCTGTGACACGGACACAGTCCAGGTGGGCTAATCAGCATCTGTATCCTCCGGCTCCTGCCTCACCTGGCGCCACGGCACCCCCCCCCCCCCCCCGCCCTTGGGTGGAGAATCCAGAGGCAAAAAACGGCAATGGTCTGTGTCAGGGGCGGCTGATCCAAACATTTACATGCTTGTCCCAAAAGCTGAACTCCTAGGGCCTTCCTGTGACCCAGATGGGATTCCTTTCATAAAGCCTCAGACCTGGTGACTTCCGGGGTGGACATCCGTGTTAGGTGAGCAAGATTAGAACAGCCAAGGAAACCTCAGACCGTTGGACACTTAGTGATGGAAAACAGTTTGGAATGGAACCAGACTCCAGGCTGACCGCTCCTGCAGGTGGTTTGACCCTAGAGGGAAGAGGGCCTGTGAAGATGCGTCCTGTCTGTGCAACAGAATGAGCTTTTAATAGTCTACCACAGTATCCGAGAAAGTCCTGTCTCAGCAGCGGATGCCGAGGAGAGAGTGGAAGTTGACAGGGTGTCACATAGCAGCACCTTCTCTGGGTCCCAGGGTCGCAGCGTCCTCATCCATTAGCCTTTATTTCCTTGTGTTGATATGAGTGGGGGATCTAGACAGAGGGAAACTACAACAGTTGTTAGATAACTTACTGTAGGGATGGGAGGGGGACAGAAGAGGAATAGGGACTTATCCTTCAGTGCTTCCCAGGCCTGCACCCTAGGCTAAGCCATCTGATTCTGGCAGTTTTGCAGGAGGAGTTGCTGAATGAACACTGTTCTTTCCCTTGAGTAAGGCAGCCCGGGCTGGGACTCCAGTGAGGCTAGCGAGGCTCTCAGCTCAGGCACAGTATCGAAGGGGATACCCCTGCTTCTCTGCTAAGCTAGATTCTGCCTGCTGAGAAGGGCACGGTTCAATTCATGAGATTTTTGGGGTCCAAATACTCGAAGAGCATCAGCTTCTCCTGAGGGCAAATAGGGCCAGGATTTCACGCAGTCATTTCAGACAAATCCAGTCCTGCGACCAGACCTGTTGTCTTGTAAAGGGAGCACTGTTGGAGAAGAAACGGTGTGTAAATAATAGTCACCTTGGACTATTTTGTAGTCAGCTGTGCAAAAATAACAGAGTTTGACTTAGAATTTTTTCCAAAATGCTCAATTCAGTTTACAAGTGTCCATATTAAAATAGCGAGGTAGGAGTTATGCACGTGTCCCGATGCCCTGAGAAAACAGAAGAAAGGATCATGTGAGCTCAACCTAAAGGGAGGCTGAGTCTGTTTCATTGGAGTCTTAGTTCCTTTTTATACATTCACCCTTCCGGGCATGCTAATTGCTTTCTGGTGAAATTAAATATTTAGAGGAAATCTCACTTAAGAAATATTTGTCAGTACATGTGTGGATATCCCAATTAGAGAAATAAGTATGACCTATAATACATGTTAAAAACATGGAAATCTCTTCTGAACCAAAATTCAGGCAGTTTCTCAGCCATTGAGATTTTGTTCTCTCACTGCACTTAATCTGCAAATTAGTAGCTGGTTAAAGAATACCATACTGATGATATTTGCTGTTTCCAGAAATACTGAACATTCTAAAAATGTGAGCAGATACTGATGTAGGTTTGAAATGTATGCCATAACTTTTACTAAGCGTGATGTATAGTACATCTTATAAATCAGATTTACCTTTCATTTCAATAGCAAATGTTCCTTAGGAGCATCACCTCACTTAACATGATTTTTACTTTTGCACATGAGTAGAAGGCTTACATGTAATTAGTTGAGTCTAAGAAATGACATCATCATAACATCACGTTGGATTTCCCATAAAGCTTTTCTTGTAGAGCTTTTGTAAATGTGTAAGCAGCCTGCCCATCATCTTCTGCAAAAACCAGCTGTTTTTCTCTCTCTTTTTATTGTTGTGTATTCCCACAGAATTCATTAGGATGCACTGTACCTCCAACCCCGACTGGTGGATGCCCTCGGAGGAGCAGATCAACAAAGTGTTCAGCGACGCTGTGGGGCACGCCCGGCAGGGGCGGGCGGTGGGGACTTTCCTGCACAATGGCGGCTCGTTTTACGAAGGGATCGATCACCAGGCTTCCCAGGATGAGGTCTTCAATAAAAATTCTCAGGATGGGTCTGGGGATTAGTGGACAAAATCTGGACACTGTAGCAGCTGGTCCTCTCAAGGGTTCCAGTTGTCAGTGTCCGGTTACCATCACCTGAGAGTCCAAAGCACGTCCTTCTGCCAGACTTGACACATCTCAAACCTTAAGTCTCTGACCTACTGCCACAGTTCCCAAATAGAAATCCACGTAGGGTTGTTGGGGAAGTCTATGGAACCTACAACAGGCTTTCAGATTCTAAAAAGAAAAAAAACCACAATTGCATTGAATTGATTCCTGGCTAGACAGTGAGGGTGAAAACAATAGTAGGTGAGCTGTGGTCACCTGTCTGAAACCTTCACGTAAGCTCTGCTTCCTGAGCAGAGCTGGTCCCCACAGAAGACTGGGCTAGAGTAGAGAAGATAGAGACACGGAGTTATTGTAAGAGACAACGAACAAACATTCTCTTTAAATAGTTGTCTTTATATTTTCCAAAGACTTGAATTCATACTTTCAGCAAAGACAATAGGATAAGTGACACTGTGCTGTCTCAACATTGACAAGACCTATATGAAAAAGCCAGAGAAAAGAGGTCCCTGCTAGACAATGATTTGTTGGAAATCACCTGGGGTTTTTTCAGTTATTTTAGAACACCCCCCCCGCCGCATGTTGATCAGAAAGGCATGACATGATCTCTGGAGTTTACAAACTAAGTTTTCATTATGTCAGTCAAGAAACCTCCAAAGGTTCAAAACCCTTTTTAAATGCTTGATTTGGTAGGTTCATAGACCCACAGGTTCCATAGCCTTCACTCAGACTTTGTTGACGTAATGCCAGAGTGATGGGTTGAGCAATGAGCATTTCAATCACTTAGTTGTTTGGTGCACTGAAGACCAAACAAGTGGTGTGACTGATGGTATTCACTGAATTGACCAGATGTTCTGGAATTGTATACATACAGCTTCAAGGCCATTCTGACAACTATGCAATGGGCTTGTCTGTAATTGCTCTGAAATGTGAGGGTCTTTCTCTGAGTAGATCTTTAGAATTTGCATAAACTTTTGTTTCTTGTTGTCACCAGTGAAAATGTTTCATCCCGACTGTTTTGCTGCTTCGCGCCTCCCTCCCGCCCCCTGCGCCATGTTCCCTTGAGCTACAAGCTCTAGCTAAGTTCACTGGTTTTCTCCCATTTAATTGGTTGAGCTCCGTCTGTGAAGTTACTAATGTCTTTGGGAGCATTCCTTACGTACAAACCGTGGAGATGCATTGCACGGCCAGTTCGAATGCATCTCCCAGGCCCGGGGCCTAAGACCAGTTGCCGTGTGTGTGTGTGTGTGTGTGTGTGTGTGTGTGTGTGTGTTTGAGGGCTTCGGGTTTGGATGGCAGGAACAGCTTCCTCTATCACACTAATCCGATTATTGCATTCTTTTTTTTTTTTTCTTTGTAGAGCATAGGGCTAAATGGGCAGAAGTTATTGAAGGTTATTAATGTTGTCTACAAACATGACTAAGGGTTTTGAAAATTGGTTGGAAATTCATTTAAGGTTTATGAGCATCCGTTTATAAAGAGTGGTTTTTGTAACCATTTTTTGTGACAGTAAATTATCCTTTATGTTTGATAATTCGCACCAACCATATGCACGGTCCTGGAAATAGGTCTGTCTTTAGCTTTTGTTAGGATTATTAGTTTCATCCATTGAAAAGTTTAATGTTTATAGAGATGGTCCTTTGTCAGATCTGTTCAGTGGTGTGGGGAGAACTAATACGTCAATCCTGTTTTGGGCAAGTTAGCTAAAATTTGTAAGTAAAGGAAAGGTTAAGGGCAAATGTGATGTTGGTTAGGGGAACCAGGAGACTACTATCTTTGGCTATCTAAGGGAAAAAGAGATTCTTTGAGGAGTTTTCAGAGGTCTGAGAAGTCAGTGCCTTACGAGATCCTTTAGTGACAGGAAATCTTGGCCAGATGCAAACTATCACCATAACCTTCTCTGTCTTTCCATCTTACCTTTGATTTTTTTGCATTAGGCTCTAGTTATCCTTACTGCTGAGGGCAATGTCCTTTTTTTTTTTTTTCCCTTTAGCAACAATATTTGACCACTGTTCAAAAAACACTTCCAACTCTTTTTCCTGCAAGCTTGAGAATTCAGCACATCTTCACATCGAAGCATTTTCGTGGTGCTCTGTGTTGTGCTGGCCTTGACCACAGGGGATGATGAGAGCATCTCTGCTCTGCGTCCCCATAGCTCTGTGTGTCGGCGTGCCTAAAGATGAAGGGCTCGCACCACCACTGTGAGAGGGGGCGACGGGAACCTTCGGTTTGGCTGTAATTAGCATCCCCTGAGAAGGCTACTAGGGTAGATCTGCCTCCCGAGCTCCCCAGGCACATCTGGTCTCCCTCCCGTCCCCCCCACTCCAGGTGACTGATTTCTCTAGCTGCTGTTTCCCAGTATTCAGCAATGTGAGCCATCTCTTAGCCCATGAGGAAACCAAGACCCAGGCGGGTGACTGGCTTCCTCAGCACTGCACGGCCAGTTCGGATGCGTCTCCCAGGCCCGGGGCCTAAGACCAGTTGCCCTGGGTCAGGTGTCCATGACGTTCTCCGCCGTGTGTGTGTGTGCGTGTGTGTGTGTGTGTGTGGCCACTGCCTGAGCCAGACGCTGACAGTCCCTGGGGGTGTGGCACTGCATCTGAGGAGATACCGGGCCGTCTCCTCTCCTGAGGGTGCGGTCCGTGCCGCCCGCCGAGCTTTCCGGCTGCTTCAGGGTGGGGGCCTCATGGCCGCCTCACTTTCAGATCAGGCCTCGCAAAGGATGTTCACGTACTTGTGGTGGGACCGCTGTGCCCCCTACAGAGCGAGGTTGTAAAAGCTCACCACCAGGAAGACCGGATGCTGTCCCTGCTCTGTCTTCCTTTCTCTTGGTCTCTTTGGAGACCTGAGGGTGCTGCTTGCTTTCTTGAGTTGAGTCTCTACCTTTCTTTGGCAGCTGGACAGATTGCTCATGCCTGGAAACTTCGTCTTGTGTCAGCTTGTAGAATCCTCCTTGAGTCCTTTTAGCACTGGTGTAAAATGGGTTGAATTAAAGCTGCTCAGGATGCCGCTGTGCTCCATGTCCTTGATGAGAGAGGGAGGTCACGGGGCTGGCCTGACATGCAGGGCTCAGCTTGGCACTGTCATCTGTTTGCGGGGTGTTCCATGGGCGCGGCGATCAGAAGAGTCTTCAGCGGTGAGTGTCTTGATGTGTCCTGTGATTTCCCAACTTAAAATGATATCACAAAGAGTATGCCTACTTTTCAAACTGACCCGAAGGCCCAGGTGCCGTTCCACTGGGCTCAGGACAACCCTCCAGGGACCCACATCAGAGGACGTAGGCCAGGAAGCCGTGGAGGGGAGCACTGGTCTGGGAGCGGTTTTCCTAGAGGCACACTTCTCACGGTCTCTTAAAGCTGTGCCGCCCACAGTGTCACGGTTTACTCACCCCAGTGTTAAATGCTTTGGAGGAAATCTGTAAACTTGAAAGTTTGTACCTTCCCCTTTTACTTGAAAGTATTTCATCCCGCCCTGGAACCTGAGCAACTCTCTGTTAGCGTTCCCAATTTCCGCCACAGGGTTCGGGTTCCTGTCACCATTGGTGTTTCATAAGGTTTCACTAGGGATGTAGGAGGATAATGACAGAGTGTGTGCAGAAACGTGCTGCCCTCTCTTTCGGTGAGGGAATTGAGAGATGTGTGCGGCCACTTCACAGCTGGAGAGCAAGTGGGTGAATTTATATTCTGGGTCTCTCTTGGCCCTTCATTAGTCATAGACACATTGACCTAAGAGATTTATAAGGATTATAGAGGTATAAATTGTTAGAGGGTATTACTTGGTCCAACTACTCCACATGTCAGATGTGTGGAATGCTTTTTTTAGTCCAGTAGCTATTCCTGTAACATCAGGCGTTTTCCCCAAATCTAGACAAAAATACAAACTTGGGAATCTACAGGTTCGTGGTTTCTACATTTTCCTACCACCTTTAATGTCTTGCCCTCCCTCCTGTTGCTCTCAGAAAATGGATGGAGCATCATGTGAAATGAAACATGCACGGTTTTCAGAAAAGCAAACCTATGTTTGCCCTCATTTGGATTTCATCCTATAACCTGTGCTCTAGAATCTAAACCTGATACCCACCAACTACCTCCTTAGTTTTTTCTTAGATTTCAGTCGTTTGTTAAGATCTCATTCTTGGATAAGTTTATTTTTAGAAAAGATTTAAACCTAACTTTTCTCATTCAGTGCTATGTCATTTCACAGTACAGATCTATAATTTTTGAGCGCTCTCATACAAATTTCTAGAAATGTAATAGAAAACGATTTTGCACATATGGCACAAGTCTTGCTGGTGTATGTTTAATGTGGCAACACTTGCCGTAACTGCTTGGTAAAACATGTCAGCTAGACCGCTTGAGTCAGAACTCTAGTGCAAATGTGTCCAAACAGCGGTATGTAGTGTTATGATATATTTTTGTAAACAGAGTGATGGCTGCTTTCCATCGTGTAAGTACTGGATAAAAATAATCACTTCCCTTGGGATAAGGTAGGAAGATGCTCCCCAGCTGATGGCCCTCTGCAAAGTCACTTGCATTGTCAGCCAGTAAGTAGCATTTGTGTTTTTTAGAGAGTGAAGGACCGATAGCCGACAGCTGAGTGCAAGAATACCAAGCCACCAGTCCTAGCTTCCTCGTGTGTAAAGTGCAGAACCAGAACAGGCAGCGTCTGCACATGAGAGACCACTCTCACCCTCCATCGTGTGTTCAGTTGCAGGAGACACTGAGAGGACTGGGCTTGGTGTACCTAATGACCAGCTTGGTCAGTTTGCCTACTGAAGCTCTGAATTTACCAAATCTCTGTGCTACAGGTGGCCAGATGAACTTTCCTTGTGACCCTCTAGAGCTGACTGATACGCGGTCTAGGTGTTCGGTGAATCACAGTTCCCCAAATTATAATGAAAATGCATCTACTAAGAAGACTCCTTTAGAATAATTGCCCGAGTACAAATGGCCACGTGGGTGCTGGCCACGTTGGAAAACTGTTCAGGCCCACACCCGCAAGCCACTCACAACAACCACTGTACTAACTGTAGCTGATAGTCATTGAGTTCTTGTTTTGCAGGTACTCTGCAAAGCACTTTAGTGCATTGTCTCCTTTTAATCCGCACGGCCACCCTCCGAGGCGGTTACTGTTGTCCCAGTTGATCCATAAAGACACTGCCCGAGGTGCTC